ACTATTTGTTTGAAGAGGTCCCTATAACTCTGCCGTCCTGTGATAAATATTCTGGTTCTCTAACCAAAAATCTTCTACCTCTAGAAAAATACTTAGCTGGCTTTGAGTAGATGCACATGAGATATTGGCATGGTGGAATAATTTGCAAGATCTTCCAGTGAGGGTATTAGCATATAAATAGCAGATGCAATGACGACCATCACAGCTGAGTACATTTAATTTTTAGTTTATAAGATAGAATGGGTTTTTAAATGCATAGCCATCAAGCCTGCTGAAAGACAAATGAAGTTTAGAGCTCACTTATCTGAGGATGCCTTACATCATTTTTTTTTTTTTTAAAAAAAAAGAAACAGACACACATAAAACTGAACAAAAGTGATTTCTTGGGTGGAAAGTAATTGAGATTGCAAGCCAAGTTAATTAGACCATACAAAATTTATTTAATGGTCCCAGCTGTAGTTTGCTAGCGGTGGTTTAGTAAGTAGATATGACTCCTCCATGTGCTATCTTTTCTCTTCTTTCTTTTTCTAAAATAATTAGGAAATGCTGTACATCTAGTCCTATAAACTGATTGCACTGTATATTCCCGTCACTTTATTGCTCTTTTTAGTTGTGATTGCAGAGGCTCAGATTCTTAAATCCTCTAGTAATCAACTTGTGTAAAACTGGGAAGAAGGGAGGCACTGGATGGGCCGTGTGGGGACACAGAGGTGCCCGGGTGCGTTAATGCCTGGAGGCTGCTGGGCTTTTTGGGTTTTGTTTCCCTCCCCTGTGTTCTCAGACACAGGTGAGTTGAAGGGTGTGGGCTGTGCTGGTGACTGCCAGGGTCACCCGGGAGTCAGGAAGGATTGAGAACGCGGGCGCTTTTCCCATGCTCTTTGCCGGGTTATTGAGGAACAACCAGTGCCGTGGCTGGTTATCTTAAAGGTGCTTAATTCTGTATGCGACAAGAACGGTTTTTATCACTTAACCTTATACTTTACTTCGTATGTGGAGAATTAGAAATAGTAAATTGCATATTTTATTGTCTTGTTTCCGTGGTTTGTGAAAGTCTGACCACTCTTTTTAAGGGATAGTAGTTTACTAATTCCACATCTTAAAATATTGTTTTAAATATTTATTTCTTTGATATAATCATTTATTTATTTATTTATTTATTTTAAAGTGTGTTCTCTTTATTTATTTGTTTATTATCTTCCGGAAAAGGTTTACCTATAATGGCAAAGCAGAGAATGGATGATTGAATTTTATGCTGCATTTTCAGAGTTTGGTTGGGAACTTCCTTGATTTTTGAAAATTAGATTTTTTTTTTCCTGACTGTAATAATATTGCCTGTGAGCTCTGCCCCATTTCGTGGAAAGGAAGTGGGGGGGAAAATAAAGCCTAAGCAGAATGCTTCTGATGAAGTATCACTGGAATGAAGTAAATGGGGACATGCCTGGCCACTCATCCTGTGCAGCTTCTGAATTTCCAGCAGTGATGACTTTCCTACTTGAAAACAAAAAAGAAAATAAGTTATATTGCTAAAGGTGATATTGTTAAAGACAATAGCAAAATAAAAAATTTTATGTCTCTTTGAAGGAAAAAGAGGGCTTAATTCCCAATAGTTAGCTAAGCAGTTTTCTTGATTGTTTGTTTTGTTTTAAGAGGAAATTTAAACTAAAAAAAAAAAAACCCCGTGAAATTCAAGGGTGTGAACAATAAGCATAATATTTTATGAAAATGACCCCCATATTTAAAATCTGGCATTATATGTTATGCATTGTAGCACCAAGTCCACATCTACCTTTTAGAAAATTAAAACACATAAATTCTGTTTAGTGTTTGATATGCACTGCACTAGCTGAAAGCCATAATGCCCCTAAAACCTTGGGTTGCTTTTCACCTTTCATAAATTCCTGGGTAGATTCTATACAAAAAATAATTTTCAGCTCCGTGGCTCATTGTTATTCAAACTTGATTGATCGTCGTCATTTACTCAGTGAGGAAGTTAAGTGCTCCTGTCATTTCCGAAGAGTATAATTGGGACGTTTCACAGGTCAGCGGTAGTGACAGGTTTCCCTTTTGATTAGTGTTAGACTGATAACAAAAATTACAGTTTCCTATGATTAATGTTTTCTATAGTAGTTGAACGCACACCTCATGGGTTGTACCTAAACAAAGTGGATTTGCATCTGATTATGCCTTTTCTCCCTCCAGCTTTCCACATGCTTTGGAGTTTTAGTCCTTGCAGGTGCCTGGTAAAGTTGCTGCTGATTCAGCTTTCAAGCTGAGGGTTAGTGGAGCCCACTTCATTGTACTGCATTAATGCACAGAGAGATCCAAACGCCCCCAGCCGTGTATCAACAGATCGGGGGAGATTTTAAATCGGCTTCCTTGCAGTCTTCTCAAATATATCACGTGCATGAATCTGCATGTTATACAAGCACTCTATCTTAGATACCATTTGGGGATTTAAGTTAAATGGTACCTTTTCTTACAGGTTTGTAGTTATTTCTCAGTTCCAGGAACCTGTTGCTTCTTATGTATCTACAGGCTGCTTCTGAGTAAAAACTGTAGAAATGTTGAAATTACTTGCCCTGTTTTACAAGGTAGAAGTTAGACTGGTTTTGTAGCCTGGACTAAAGCTGTAGGTTAAGATCATCCATGACAGGTTTTAGATTGGCGTAACCTTTTTTAATAGCTAAATTAGGAATAGAACATGAAGTTGTCCTGCTTCTGGCTGCAGAAGTAGGAGTGGGTGTATTTTCTGAATTACATTGCCTGTAACAGATTAAAAAGGGAGTGACAACACCTGCAGAATTTTGAAACCAAAATACAGATAGATTAGTTTCTCGCTTAGTCTGTAGCCCTTTTCTGTTGTGCAGAGTATGAAAACTTGGGTTTATTTTTCTTTCTTTCTTTCAGTCATCAGAAAGCTCTTCTAAAAGATGCAGTTCAATGCATATGTGCTGCCGTCCTGTGTGGTGCCTTTGCAAGTTTATGGTTTGCAGCAGAGCGACCCTTTCTTCCCATTAGAACTTCCTTTTGATTTCTCGTGGGGAACCTGACCTCCACACGTGCCTGTCTTGGCCACGTCAGCTGGGGCCTCGGTTGCCTCTCTGCTTCAGATGAGGAAAAATAATAGTGGTGGGAAGGTCCAGGTGTGCTGGGAGGATGCAGGATCCCCCAGCGCAGCAGGGCGGTCCGTTATCAGAGGCTGCTTCCTCTGCTAATCAGAGGAAGCAGTAGCTTGGCTCACGAGGCTGCGGTTGTCTTTGATAATAGTTTATTTCAGAGATGATTATGCTGCAATATTATTTTAAAATGAAGAATAATTAGACACTCTGTGATAAAGATGCCCTAATAAATCCACTACGTTCTTTAGGACGGTATTTTTTTAACTTAGAATTACAGCATTCTTTAATCAAAGTTTTTTGTTTTTTTTTCATCAAGTAGAAAAATCTCGCTTCTAGCCTGCACTATCCATTCATTATATGTTAAAGCATATATTAATGTCAAAGTTGCTTATTAGAAACGAGTTTCAATCCAACTTGAAAATAATACTGACCAAAAAGAAATGCTGTTTATTTGTTTATTAACTACGCTCTGTAAACCAAGGTTGGTTTCTAGGTTTTGTGGCTTCCGAGTGTATGTATGATTTAAAGGAACTCAGCTGTGCAGCTGTGACACACGATTAGAGGAGTGAATTAAATTGGGAAAATTCTGCTGCAGGCAAAACCTGCAGTATCCTCTAGTGCTTGTAACAGTGAGTAGTTGATTGGAATATCAACATGAGGGAGATGCAATGGGAGAAATAAAGACCAGGGCTGGAAATAACAAAAATCATGCCATTCCTTACCTGCCCTGTTGGCTTGTTGCAGTGAAGTTGAAAAAGAGCCATCGGCAGCTCTGTGGGAAAGCTGCTTTTAGTGGATAGCCTATGTAGTCTCCCAGACTATAGAAAGTGGACAGTAAAGACAGTAGTTTGCTAATTAGGTGGTTGTTAAGGATCAAGTAGCTGCCAAGTTAGGCAGAAGAAATAGTGTGTAAAACCTCCAGTATCGCTGTGTTTTTAGGGTAGTTGGCATATGGGGTTTTAAAAGCCTGGTAATACAGACCATGTCTGAGGGGGCACAAATGTTTTTAGCTTGCACGTAGTCTAGCGGAAAAAACGCATTTTCCGGTGAGAAACAAACTGAAGAAAAAATTCATAGGCCAACTGGTGCGTGCACAGTAGTGGTTAGCTGAAGTGAAGCACAGCAAGTCACTTGCGTGAATTAGTTCTCCTAGTTAATTGGCAGTAACTCCATTTCTATTTTTTGGCTAGTCAAGGATGTTTTGTTTCAGAGTACTGAAGAGGATAAATGCACGTTTGCAAATCCTGTTTTTCTGGTTTTGTACATGCTGCATGTATAAATGACTGAGGTTTACAAAGTTAGTTAAGAAATGAATGTGTCAAAGTATTTGGAGTGCTGCTGTGAAGAGACCCAGTGAAACATTTTTGTATGAAGACCAATCTGACAGTTCTTTCTTCTGTCGGAATTAAGCCTGCCAGTCCATGAGCTCCCCTCCCTGCTTGCCTGCTCTGGGTGTCTGAGCCCTTGAGCAGTGTGTAACAGGCCACACACTGTTACGATGCACCCAAATGAGGAAAATGAAACGAGATAAGGCTCTAATTTGCTTGAGTCAAAATCTTAATGTTATTTTAAGAATCTTCAGTTTTATTTTATAGGTTCACACTTTCTCAGACTTCAACAGCTGTATGTGGAGTAGTAGATCTCCTCTTTAAAGCCTTTTTTATACCTTAGGATAGAGTGTGGCTTTAGAGATAAAACGTTAACCAAAGGTCTAATCTTAGACAAAGATTAAATACATAATTAGTGAAATACTTTTGAAATAAGAGCAGTCTCAGTAGGGCGACTGTGATGTCTGCGAAATATTATGGAATGTGGAGGGAAATGAAAAACAATCTTTGTGTTAATAAAAAAAAAAAAAAAAAAAAAATCCTATCTCTATAGATGAAAGCCTCAGACAATGATGATGACGATGACGACGATGATGATGAATTTGTGGAGGTCCCTGAGAAGGAAGGTTATGAACCCCACATTCCAGACCACCTGCGAAAGGAATACGGTGAGTTTGCCCAGCTGTGAAGAGCTCTATCCCTGCGTGTTACTGCTGCAGTAAAGTAAATAAACAGCCATTATGAAGTAATAAAGTGATCAGTGGTGTGGGTAATCTCCCCGACTGCTCCCAGGAAGTCATTACACACCCAGGGCAGCAGCGATTGGCTCTGAATAAACAAACACTTTCTAGGAGCAAAAGTAACTGAGAGTAGAGGCTTATTTCCTTCCCTCATGCTCCACTGTTCATTTAGAGCGAGAAGCAGCTCTTGGTGCCTCCCCTGCTAAAGATGTACTTAGATTGAGGGGATCTCAAAGTAGAGCTATAAGTGAGCCTGGATGTTAGAAATACTGGTAACAGTCTGGAGAGATGGGGTAGGATTTTGTACTGTTCCCCGCGTTAATAGCTGATATGCAGTCACTGCCTCCCAAAAGGTGGCTACTTTACAGCTCAGAGCATCAAGTTCCTTTTGGAGGTGGTGCCACTGTCACAAGAAGTTAAATGGAGCTCTGCCTGGAAGCTCAGAACTCTAGCCCCTGGTGCTGGATGACAAAATGTAATCTCGGGCTCATCTGCTTTATTTAAATGAAAAAAGCCTCTTTTAATGCATTCTAAAGATTTTTTTTTTAAATAAATATATATTCATAATGTGTTCTTGTGAAATTGAGAGGAGAGCCACTGGCAAAGGTTCATCTAAAATAATTAAATTTCAGTGCATTACTCTGTCCTTTGTGCATCTAGTTTATTAAGTGTCTGCAGCGTTGCCTCTATGTAGCATGGTCCATTTTAAGGATCAGAAGCTTCAGTACATTGTAGAGAAAGAGAAAGTATCTGCAAGCAAGTAAAAGTTTAAAAACCTTAAACATTTTACTAGATTTCTCTCTCCTTTATTTCATCATAGCTTTTCATGTAAGAATTATTTTGACCTAAAATGTATTGCTTGGGGTAGTATTACCTTCTTCACCCTTGTGCTTACTTATTTTTAACTTATTCAGTTTGCATCATTGAAGTGAGGCTGCAGTTTTGACTTGTATAAAGCAACTGTTCCTTTTCAGTCAAACCAAAGGGGGTTGCCTGTGTAAATCCAAAAAGATACAGCTAGAGGAACCTTTTCACTGTCGTCTTCTATCAAAATTGTCTGCAGATAGTGAAAGGTTCTGCAGTGACTGAGGTCAACTCCAAGGACCTCTCCTGGTATGAAGCCCTCATAGTGCCTCGTCAAACTTGCCCTCTCTGAGCTTTATCGAGGCACTTTTGTGCCCTCGGAAGCAAACCCTACATTGATTATGTTGTATACCTGTCTGTTTTCCCCTCCAAAGGACCTGCAACAAGGCCAGTTTGCAGTTCCAGTTTGATGGCAGGACATAAATGCCTCAGTTTCTACATTCCTTTAAAGAATATGGAAGGTAGCAACTGTACAGAGGATTGAGACTAAATGAATGCCCTGGTGAGCAGATGATGCTTCTCTTCATTCGGCACGAGTGCTCTTTGCGCATGTGGTGCTTGAGACAAGCTACAGGCACGTATTTTGCCCAACAAATAGCTGGGGAAGATGAAGTGGAACTGGGAGTGCTGAGGTAGTGATGAGGTTGAAATGGGATAGAGGGTGGAATGGGAACCAAATAGACCTGTTGGAAGAGAGCACAGGACAGCAGTGCAGGGCTGTAGGACACAAAAAGGAACTGGGTAGTTTTTACTCATCTGTTAACGAAAAAGTAATATTTTGATAGAACAGTATATGTGACCTGTGAAACCTATCTCATCTTTTATATGCATGTTGTTATGAGGGAGCTGATGCTCACATTTGCTTGTTCTTTATTTGATATGTTTGTTAAAAGAAGAACATTTTGAACAGAAATGAACCATTATTGATGTTCCTGAAGAAACTGAGCTTTACTTGCCAGCATTTAAAATAACTACATAGGCTTGGGAAAGAATATCCGTTCAGGAAACCTTTTGTGCACATGCTTTCTTCCATCTCGTGTACTTAAGTTTGAAATGTGACATTTGGATAATTGATTTAAAAGTCACTTCATTTCCTCTCACTTTCCTTGAGAAAATGAAAGTAAATTTCGAGCTTACACGCTGTTTTTGATGATGTACGTATTGGTGATTCTTTTGAGATCTGAAATGTCTGTGCAATGGGAAAAGAGATTTGGAGACAGGGAGGAATTGTATCCACAGATGCACATGTGCACGCAGTGTGTGTGTGTACATGTAGCTGATATAGATGACCCCCAAGTTGTTGGTGACACTGAATATGTAAAATAAACTGAGCATGGGTGCCGTTCGGGTGAAGGGAGAATTAAACAAGTCAATTTGAATCTCGATATGTAAGACGAAATGTAAATTTGTTAAAAGAATTTAGGTGATTAGATAACTGAAGTGTGAAGATATAACCCATTAGGGGTGTCATGCCAAATTAGCATTACCAGACTTTTAACGACCTCCCATTTGTATAATCCTTATTTACACTTGCACCTGATGTCTGCAAGAGACAAGAAACCAGCGGTCCTGTGGTACCACAGAGCTGCTTTCAGTGCATGGTGTTGCTGAAGAGAGTGGTTGCCTGAAAGAGCAGCAGCTCTGCAAGAAAATTTCCATAAGGTTACGCTAGTTCTGGGCGCTGTGCACTAATGTTACCTACTCCACTGAAAAGCGACTGCTTTATAGGACTAGTACCACTGTCTGCTTACAAATTGAGGTATTGCTTCAAAGCAGGCTAAGGGGACAGATGAAATCTTGTGTCCACTTGTGGTTTCCCACGTTACAGCCTTGGCTGTTTTACCTGATGATTGCAGCGCCTTAAGGCCCTACAGTGCATGAGGTGAAGCACGGACCTCCGGTGGTTGGTACTCAGTTCTTGTGGCACAAAGGAGTTCACCCCTGGCACTAGGGTAAGAGATTGCCTTCCTGCTCCGTCTTACTCCCTCTGTTGTTGGGGCATCATTTGCTTGTAGCTGAGCTGCATGTGACTTTGTATTTATAATTTGCTTGAATTTACTTGTGTGCTATTTCTTTGAGGCGCAGGGAAGAGGTATTACCACTTTACAAGTGCAGATATGAGGAAGCTGCCTGACTTGGGAATATGAGTGCGGCAGCAGTCTGCTCTGGTTATCAAGTTTTGTCCTTACACTGAATAAAAGCAAAACTGCTTTGGAAATGTGGAATAGAACTGTCATCATCAGAAATAAAACAAGGGAAAAAATCATTACTAATTTATTGGAATCTACTACTTTTGTTCTCTACATCTCCTACGTTCTAAATGTTTCAAAATGTTTTTGTTTGCATGGTCAAGAAGACTTTGACCTGTGCCATGCTGCAGACATGACAAGCAACAGGCTGAATTTTAAGCCTTGCATGTTATCTAACCCAAAGTGTGGCTATATAGTTCCTGTGCTGATTCCTTCCTTGCAGGTATTCACCTGCTGCCTTTTGGATGCAATAGTTTCCAAAACACAAAGGCAGGAAAACAATGTTAATCACTGCATAATATCTGTTCTTTTATCCTATATTTTTATGAAGTTCCTTCCATAAAGAGTTGTTTTGCTGTCATATATAAAAAATTGAAAGCTAAAAAGACAAAAAGAGCATTCGACAAGTGTTCATGAAGTGAAATACAAACCACTTATTTCAGCCTGTGAAGAAATGGTCTTTCTTGCTGATCTCTTTCTCTCCGTTGAGGCATCAAACAGACTTAGCTGAGACAGAAGGTTTATTTTTGCTGTGTTGTGAGTAATAAAAGTGTCAGTTATATTTGTTTTTGTTTGTTTTAGAACTTTGAAAATTGTTTTAATAATCCTTCTCTGCTCAAATTAGAGCTCTTAAATGCCACTTTGCATGTCCTAGCCAGGTTTTCCTCAGTTCTGCATGCATGGAAAACATGGAGAAGAGACACCACTCCTATGTACTTGGTCTCTAACTAGAGCATCTAAATATCTCTGGATATTCAGTGAAAGGGAAACTTCCTTCTTTGTATATTAGTCTTGCAGGAAACAGACTTTGTTTAGTTGTCTGTGGCTCAGATTGATTAGGGTTCCCTGCTGGTAAGCATTTTTCAATAACTTAATACAAATAATTTTGTAGTAGCCTGTAAGATGGTCTGTTTTTGAACAACCCTGGACTTCCACAGCTCTGTAGAGACCCCAAGGAGGAGTGTTCTGATGTCTGGAACTTTGAAACACAGGACTCAGTAATCCATTTTGAGACCTAGAACTGCATTGCCATCATTACGTCCTGCTACTTCTTGTTAGGCTACATTAAAATATTTGTCCGTTTTACTTGACTTTTTATGGGAAAACCTAAAATGGGTTTTGTAGGGGGAGAGGAGGTAAAAAATACCTGGTTACCTTCTCCTTTTACAAATTAGGTAAGCGCAGGTAACACAGTTTTGTCTGAACAAGAGGCTAATACTTTGAATAAGATTTCTATCATTACTGGTATAAATCCTTAAAAAATATATATTGACAGTTGTTATATGATTGATTTGCCATAAATAAAGAGATAACAGATTTAGCATTCAAGTTAGGGTTGTTAGTATGTCAGGGTTGTTATGCAAGTTATGATTGAAATAGCATACATTGATTTACCATAAATATATGGAAAACAGATATTCAGTATTCAGGTTAGGACTGGAGCCCTGTTATTCTCTAAGCAGGTATATTTGCATTGCGTGATCACAGTTTTTCTTCGCATACACATTAGAAGTGTCAACTATAAATGTACAAATTGCCTTATTATATTAGCGTGTTTGGAATATATCTGTGTATAGGCAACCGCACATTCCATATAGCTGCAATTAGGCCACTAATTAGGTAAAATTTATTATAATACAGTATTTAGAATGAAGATAACTTTGCACATTTATCTAAATTAAAATAAAATATAAAACTTGATTGGCATCTCCAATAAAATACTTCTACCTGAACGGAGTAGTGTTGGTTGCAGATGTTTCTCCTGATTCATCCTAATCAGGAGATCGCGTAAACCCTTCCTCACTCTCGAGAAAGATGCTTTTATGCAAATAAAGTTCCATGAAAATGTGACAGGACATGGGATGTATTCGATTCCCCCTGCGAGTCTTAGAAATTAATAATCCCTGAGTAGGGTAATGATGATACATCTGAGGTGTTTCCGATATGCATGTATTTCATAGGAACTACATCATAATTAGCAGTAACTTTAAAAGATCAGGACAAAAAATAGAAGTGTTTTGACCTGAACTCTGCTTATGTGGCCTCTCTCAGCTATGATTGTAAAACAGTAGTAAGTAAGGTTAATTAATGACAGTTAATCCTGGTACAGTTTAACATATTGTGTAATTCCTTTAAGGCAAACCAAATACTTCATGTAATGTTATTGACCTTGTCTAACTAACAACTGTCAGCTTTTTACTTTTTAATTTTCAAAGTAGAATTCTAAACTTTACATAAATACAGATATGTAAATTTACATTTAAAGGCACCTTCTGATTGGAAAGCGGTGTGATTACAAGAGACTCCTCGAGGGCTCTTCAGAAGTCCTGCAATGCGCCCACGAGGGTGACACGCGGCCGGCCGCCTGGCGAGTTGTCCTCAGCGAGCCCTGGGCTTGGCTGTGCTGCCAGCAGATTCCTGCCCCCCAGAATTTTGGCATCCTCCCCCAGCACAGGTAGACAGAAGTTTGGTTTTGGCATTTGAGGACAAGAAAGGGAATGGTGTATTGTACAATTATAGAGTCAGAGGGAAAGTTTTCTACTATAATAAGCATTAAATATTTTTATCTTTCTTATCTTTGTATGAATTGAAGATACTTTTTTAGATTTTGTTTGTAACAGCTACTTTTTTCTCACGTTAAGAGTTCTTTAAGATGAAGTGGTACTAACAAGAAAAGAGGCTTATTTTTATAGGTAGCAATGAAATTTGATCACAGTTTTTTTTTTTTTTTTTTTAAAAAAAAAGATATTCCTGTAATTTGCCATTAAAGATCAGCTACATCGGGGTGATTTGCATAATTCATTCAGAGCTTCACCCTGAGCAGGTAACAGGAACAGTGAGCTCTTCCCAGCACATGATCGCCTGAGCCTGTGTTGGTTGGGTTCGTGCGTCCGTGTTGGTTGGGTTCGTGCGTCCGTGTTGGTTCTAGTTGACGTCCCCCTGCACACGGGTAGGTGCTGCAGGCCTGATCCGGCAGTGCCGAGGCTGCTCGGGAATGTCACCACGGACATGGACCTGTGCGCTCGGATCCCCTACTCCCTGTGGAGCAAACTTTGCAAAGCTCCCTTCCTGTGGCAGTGAAGTTTATTGTAGTTGCTGTGTGAAATACATTCTTTTTTTATTTTCCTTCTGATCACAGTAGAGAGTGACTAAGTATTATGCATGAACGGCTAGACTTTCCTGACCTTCTTGCAGTATATCTGTACTAAATCACATGTATTTGGCTTGAATAAGATTGAACAAATGGGAAACTGAAATTATTATATTCTTTCAGGAAAGTCGAAGTCCATAATACTTATTTATATTCTATCTCCGTTTTTTCAATTAAACTTAAGTGAATTTGAAGTAGCTAGATTTCGTCTAAATCCACACTGCTGAGGAAACCTGTGCTTGCTCTTTCTCTGAATTCTCACTGAGGGGCTTTTATCTCTCCCTAATCCCACCGTTTCTGTCAGGACATAATCTCTTTCTCAAATTTACATTTTAATTACAAGGCCAGCTGAACTAGCTAAAATCAATAATGTCAGCGTTCAGCAGCCCAACTTCAGCTGAAGCCCCAGCCTCTCTCTTTCCGGCTATCGATTTGTCTTGTGAACACGGTCTACTTTATTGCTTCAGGCAAATAGGTGCCATTTGGTCGGTTTAAACAAAAAAGGGGATTTGAACATTTTTATGATTCTTTCCAAAAGCTGCTATTGGAACAGTTTTAACCCATGTACTGTGCTAGTGTTACAGAAAATACCCAGAGCAGCAGGATTCCTAAGAGGAAATATTCCTCTCTAAAGCTGCATTCAATGTCATGCATGTCTTAAAAACAAGCAAAAAACTCCACCATGCCATTAGATACAATTCAAACACTGCTGTTGTCTGTATGGTAATTCTTTATCTTGTCAGCAAAAATTAATTTCATGAACAAATATTCAAAAAAATACAGCAGCGGTAGTTTTAATGCTATAGCAATATATTTACCATTTACCCATTTTTCTGTTAATGGTTTAGAATAAGAAATCGATGGAAAAAATATTTTGTTTTTGTAACCCTTAAGAATTCCTCTATTGATCTTTGGGATGTGATTTTTATCTATCTAAATGTCACATTGTCCATTTATCTCTCTTGCCTTTTCTGTGGGTAGCTGATTGCTTGTCTCTTCTTGTCCCCCCCATCGCTATAATGAATGAGTGATCAAGCTTTCCATAAAAATGATAGGAGAAAAACAGGACTAGGGTTTTCTGAAAACTTTTAGCACGTGCATGCACACAGCTATGCTCCCTGAAGAGGAAAAAGGTGGTGAGAAGCAGTTTGTGAATAGCAAACATAGAGCTGATTGCAAAATTGTTGCTTTAAACAGTGCTTTTCAGAAAGGTATTCTTGTCCTTTGCCCTTTAGGGGAAGGCAATTTTAACTCACAAATAGAGCCTGTCATGTTTTTCTCAGCCAACCTTGTTCATGGCAAAGTGTCTGTTCGTAAGTATTTGTATCATAAAAGAACGTTTACTCCAAACCCTGATGATTGTAGGTAAAGTGTGTTTAAAACTGAATCTTTTGGGTTAGTTCTCTTTCACTTTGATGCAAAGCACCTGCCAGAGGAAAGCTTTTTCCTTTCCTTTGCTGGAGTTGGCTATGACAGAAGTCCAAACGTTCTGTCCTGTCCCCCTTCCAGATCTGTGAATTAAAGGGTGTTCCCATCAGTAGCATATTAAGTGGTATATTATGTGCTTTTTTTTTTTTTTTAAAGCAACAACAAAAAGCACTTTGTGGAGTCACCATTAGCTCTTGAACAGCCAATCCACAGCCTAATAAATCTCATAGTTTCTTTTGCTATTTAGCTTATATGTTCCTCTGCTTCGTTCTATCTCCATTATGCTTAACTACCCTTATGGATGGTCCTTTTGCTAATTTTCACATGATTTTCCAGCATACGTATTGGTCTCTTGAATTGCTCTGCCTGCAGCTGCTAGGCACGTCCTCACCTCCCATCCCAGGAGAGGAAAGCCAGAAAGGGGCATCTTTCCTGGCATGACCTTCCCTGCGCGGCTCAGCCCCCTGGGCAGCTCCTGCTGGGCTCCCTCCTCGCTCCTGGCACCTGTTGCAGCATCTTGTCTTGCAGGGCCTGGTTGCAGCGTTTTCCGGCAGGCACCTGACTTGGGTTTTCACACACTTACATTTCCACGAGCCCTCAGGGGGGTTCTGTGTTTTAAATGTATACGATTTAATCTTAAATTAGGGAACTCTTAGTTACTGGTGGTTATTTACTGTTGTGGTACGTTGTTGTAGAGATCTAAGGGAAAACAAACATACAGCAGATTTAATACGTTTTCTGACATATTTCATGATGTGTGCTTTTGCAGATTGTGGTAAAGGCAAGCTGCTATAATTCTGTACGTGTTAAATATGTTTTTCTCTGAAGTGAAAGTGCTTTATGCACTGTACAGCCTAAAAGCTTCAATTGGATGATTGCTAAACAGATTGTTTCAACTCAGATTGTTTCCAAGTGAAGCCTGAGATAACTGAAAGTTTTAGTCCTGCTAAATCATGATTTCTGTGTGTGTATGATGTTTTTTTGGAGGGGGAGCATGGCCTTGCATTTCAAATGCTTCTTTTGTAACAAGGCTTTCGTTTCCTGCTCTACAGGAGATGTAGTCTATTATGTTACTGTGAGGGCTCATGTCTCTCCATTTTAGATGTCGATGGTTGAAAAGTTCTTGTTACTGCTGCCAGCTAATAGAGCTGCTTCTCCAGCTCCCTGGCAGAGGCAGGTGCTGTCTAACTGCCCAGCCTATCTAATTGCATCATTACAGTCCATGGTGTCTTCGAATCCAGCTGTAGGAAGTAATTATGTTGCCCCACCACGGAGCTTCTGGTGCTGGAAATCTCTGCCACAGGCACCACTCGGGCAGGTAGCACCTCTTCAGAGCGCCCTGTGCTGGTACCCCACGTGTCTGCCGGTGTTTAAATGCCTCACCTGACAAATAGTGTGTCCTGGTATCTGTGGGAGAAGGAAGTTCTGTCGTATTGGCAATGTCTTCAGAACTCCAGGGTGGTGAGTTTGGGTGGTCTTTCTTCTGTTTTGTCTCGATGTAACCTTGAAGACAGAAATTACATACAAGCAGGCTGATGTGCCCCTAGAAACTTGTGTGCAAAAAGCACTGTTTCAGTTTAAACAAACATCATCTTTTCCAAGGTGAAGTAATACCGTTCTTTGTCATCATGCCATGGCAGTGAAATGAAAACATTTTATTGGTATACTCAGTTACTCGGTACATTACCACAATAAGAAAAAATTCACAGACAGAAGTGCTGCTGCTGTGTTACTGGCCTCAGAGTAAGGTGATGTCTAATGTGGACTGAAAGCCGTTGGATAGTTCCTCGGTGGATGCAAAATCTGCAAGTTCCTTGGTGCAAAATCTACATTCTGAGCTGTTTGGCAGAGGAAGCAGAAAGACCTCTCCAATATCTTTCTCTTGCAGGACTGGAGCCCCTGTCACCGCCGAGCACACAGGGAAGGGAGGCGCCGGTAGGACGGGCTCCACTCAGCTCTCGGGCCCAGCCAAAAGGGAGCGAGGATGAACTGGACCCAACCTGTGCAGCTGCAACACTGAAACTGATTAGAGACCAGCTACCCAAGTTACCACCTCCACACACAAGGTAGCTGTGTTTTAATTCTGTTAGAGATTGCTCTCTCTTGTGATTTTTGATGACAAAAGCACTCAAACAAGTGCATCATCAAATGGATAAGCTAAAAGTTGAGGCTGTGTTCCTTTCACTTTAAATGTGTAATTCTCTTACTCAGATGTATATTCACTGCTTAAAATTGGAGCTTTAGCTAATGATCGCACCAGGATTTTCTGAAATCTTTTGCTAATAATTTGGTTTAAGTTGTATGTAGTGTAGATGGCCACCAGAGTGGAGTAATTAATTGACGGTATGTTCCAAAAAAGGTACTTGTACACTGTCCAGGGAGGGGAAAAAAAAAAAAGCCCCAAACCTTAGCAAACTGGAAGATAATCGAGAATATAGAAATAGCTTTATTCTGGTAGATCTCTGGAGTGTTTAGGTTTGCATTTTGCCTTTAATCTGAAAAAAAAAAAAAACCCTAATGTTTCAGAAAGGGTGATTAAGACCATTCAATGCTATTACAGGGTACCTGAGGTTGTCCTAGTAGTTTGCTGCTTTTTAAGGCCTGGTGCATTCTAAAGTGGTACTGCACAGTGAATGCTTTGGGCTCCAGCATTCTAGCATTCTTTGGTCAAAGAAAGGAACGCGAATTGCAGTCATTGCTTATTTTGTTTGTCCTATTTGTTTATTTTGCTTCATTTGTTGTCCTTTGTATTTAATCCCTTCTGTGCCCATATGCATGGGAGTTAAACAGTTTGCTTGTACAGCTTCTTTTCTTAAGCATTTTTACCCACAAGGAATGCAGTGCTACACCGCGCTGCCGATTCCATCGTATCTTTGCAAAAGGTCCCGGAGAGGTAAGGTGGCACCCTGCCAAAAACCCTGCCCACTGCAACCTCCGTGCAGACGGGGCCGCAGAGAGAGGGAGGGGACCCCGCAAGACGTGGTGGTGTCTTGGTATTTGTGTGAGAAGTTAATGGAAACAGAGAAAATATGCTCATTACTTTCTATTGACATTTCATAAACTTTCTCCAGCAAGTCTACAACTACTGAGCAAGCAGCTTTGGAAGAGCCTGACAGCAAGGCAAGAAAACGAGCAGAAGAAAGAGCTAAAGCTCCCGTCCTGCCTTTTGGATTAGATCTTCACTACTGGGGACAGGACCAGCCAAGTGCTGGGAAGATTCTCAAGTAAATGCTCTTCCTTCTTTTAAGACAAATTAAACAAACACATAGGTTTGCTTGTCCTCAGAGGTCATGCAGAAGGGTGAATCTTCCTGCTTTTGATAAATACTTTTCTTTTCCCCTTGTGTTATGGGGCCTTCAAACACAGTCAGAAATTCTAACTTAAAATGATGTTCCTTTTAAGCAATTCTTTGATGGTTCAAAGCACATTTTTAGCTCTTTTTGTGTTTGTGTACTTGCAGCACGGCAGCCCTTCAGTTTAAATTGGTACCTCATTTTGCAAAGTCCTATGCAACTACATAGTAGAAGTTGCTCTGTTTGAGTTTTACAATCTAAATAAATAACCAACAAGGTAGGAGAAAGACTGGTGGAGGGACATGACGGGGGACAAAGAACTTTTCCTGGCTTTACAGAGCACGAGCAGGAACTTGATACTTTTGCTCAGTCGCACAGGAGGTATGTGGCAGTGCCAGGATTTGAATTTGGATCTCTCAGCTTTGAATTTAGTTTTCATTTTTGTTTGAGCAGGTTCTGTGGTTTCTTGGACACGAAGCAGTGCTGGCTTTAGGAAAGCTTTAGCAGTGCTGGAGAGATGTGATTATAGCTGTTCATCAAGAACTTGTTTCTAGTGGTTGGTTTTTAAGGTCCTTTCTTAGTCTTTTCTGATAGCTTTATACAGAGTCAAAATTCTCCTTTGGATTTTGGTTAAATCCACTAGAAGTTTAGGATCAGCATGCATCATAATTGGCATCAAGTAAGGTAAAAATCACTCACTGGGTGTCCTGCAAATCAAACTTAGATAATTGCAACATGGTTTGGAGTAATAATATTGTACAAGCAAACCCTAAATGGTGCCACAGCATGAAGTCCAAGCAAATATCATCGTCAGCTTTTTCACATTTTCACACTGCAGAGTATTGGTTTCCCTGGCACAGGTTCTTCTGTTTTGCCTGAAATTTTAGGTAATATTAAAATATTTTGTGTAATTATTTTCTTCATCTACCTGTGCTCAGAACAGTAGCCAGGTGGCTGTTGTCACACTTGACATCCTCATTTGCTGGCTTCCAGTGCCTTTCTGGGGAAAAACAACAACAACAAAAAGCACTAAACGGCATCACTTGGGTTGCTTCTGTCACAGTTCTCTCCAGCTTGGCTTAATTCTCAGCAACAGCACTTGCAGAAAGGAACAAGAGGAAGGCCTCATTTTATAAAATGCTGAATATATTTTAAACTTGATACAGGAAAGTGTTTTGAACACATTCATTCCAGGCTTTGTGCTCTGCCTGGTGAGGTGTGAGCACTTCAAGGCCTGTAAAATGGTTAAGATTTTCAGCAAGGTTTTAAGAAGCGTTTGTCTGTGATAATGCCAAAGAGGCAGTAAGGGTTTATTTTACATTGCAAATGAGTTATTCAAGTCATAAGTGAAATCAAAATCATATTTCACTGCCTACCTTGTGCTGTACTGTTTTATTTTTATGCTTTGCAATAAAATAGAGGGCATACTTCTACACCTTATAGTCTATAACTACAGATATGCCAATCTAACCAAAGATAATTTAAGTAACTCTGCCCACACAATATCATTGACCCCAGGTATAAAATATATTTATGGGAAAAAAAAGGGTAGTCGTTAGGCAATTCACTTAACTTTTTCTCTATGCATGCATTCCTTTTTTATTTTTTTTAATTTCATATAACCGTTATCTGTCTGTTATTCCCCCTAATGCATAGGTATGTATAAAATTTTCATTAAAGACTTTATCTAACTCAAAAAAACGCTCGTTCCCCGAGTGCGAGTGAGATGTTGACCACCCAGCCTATCCCTTCTGTTGATCCCTCTTACAGAAAAAAGTTGTACTTGTCTCATGCATCTCTGCAAAGATCTCATGTTTTTTCTGTCCCTTTAAAGCATTGCTTAGATTAGAGCAATAGGAAACGTTGGGGTTCAACACTGCTGTGTGCTTTTCTCATCTACTTTTAAATATTTTGGGGAAGAAGATATTTATGTTTGTAATACTCATAAGTGCTAATGCTTATCTGTGTAGGAGGCAGGCTGTTTTGTGTCTAGTTTCCGAATACTGATCTGTGCTGTGTAGAGTAAAACATAGTTTTGATTCCCTTGAGATCTGCTGGATGCAGATTTTTTAGGGGGAGAGTCAAGATATTGAATAGATCTCTTTTTCTCATAGAAAAGGTTGACACACACAGTCATTAAATGTTTCATCATTCTCCTTGTAATTTTGGTATTTCAGAGGTGAAGGGGATGTTCAGGCTGCCACTGGGCATTAGAATTTTACCCAAAGATTCTTTGAACCTCTTTGCACAAGCAGTCCCATATGGCATCTTGGCATTCTGCCTTCCTTGTGCCCGTGAGGTTCTTCATCCCCTTCCCGCTCCCCTTCCTTTTCTTGTTAGAGAATATTAACTACAGAAATACATACAGAGCTAATTACTGTAACAGGTTATTAGATAAATGACTCCAAATGCCAGATTACAGACCAGAGCTAAGACTGGTCAATAGGTGAGCAGGTTAAATGAGGAATTGGGATTGGGACTTCGGTAATATTTAAAAAAAAAAAAATGCTTGCAATAGTCATAGCAAAGATTATGACATTCCTTTTTTTTAATAATTCACTGATTTAACTTCCCCTTCTTTTACATGCGAGTTGACTAAAGGATGATACTGACATCTCTAGGTGCTTTCTTATATCCTGGGTTTATGTCTCATCCAAATACTGCATCAGGACAGGGAAGGCACAACTTCACCCATAGACAAATAATTCTTGCTCATTGTTTTCCCAGACTTTCTTCTCAGCATCGATTTTGGGCACCCAATGAAGTGGAGGAGGAGGTTGAAAATAAAGAAATCTCTGAGATGTTAAAAACTAGATATATAACGTTTGCTGGGGAGTTTGAACCAGTGAAACATAAATGTCGAGCACCGATGCCTAATGGAGGCCTGTGTGAAAGACAAGATCGCGTTAAGGTGGGCACCGAGTAGCAACTGCCAAGATGTGTGCTGTATGCAGAGGATCTCACCAGAACATTTCTACAAAGGTTTATTTCAATTGCAAATACAGCCAAAGGGAGTGAATGAAAATTGTTACCTGGAGAAATGGGCTGCTGTTCTGCAGTGTGTGCATTATCCTTTTTATCAAGAAATTACAGGTGTTTAAAGGTGTCTTTTCTTTGGCATTAATATAGATATTTATGTTATTATTGTGGTATTTGCTTCCTTGTCAATGAGTTGGTTGCTGAATAGTTGTCCTCATTTAAAGCCATATTTTTATTAATTATTTTTAGAAGCATGGGTATATGGTAACAGGCAGATTTTATTTACAGATCAGCTTTTATGAAAGAGAAATCCTATACAACCTCAAATCATGAGAGCTTTTCAGCAGAAATATTATGCTTAATTACTTGTAATATTCCATTCCTTCCTATATTATCTAAGATTGTAGGATCAGAACACGTTAAAATACTTCAAAAGGGATTGTTATATGATATGGAAGCAGTTTGAATAACAAAATGCACAGTAGCACAAGTTGCAGAGGTGGCAGGATATGTTACTAGCCCTCTTGGGGCGGGTAACCTAGCTCTTTGGGATTCTGAATATAGTCAATGTGTGATGTTGAAGGGATCCTAATGCTTTCTAATGAGATCTAGGCATCAGCTGTAAAGTTGAATCATTTCATTCCAGTGTCTGGCTCTGAGTTACATTGAACTATATGAGAAAGTTTCATTCAGAAGTTTTGAGAGTTTTTTTCTTTCTTTCGGAAGTGCCCTTTCCATGGAAAAATAATTCCTCGGGATGAATCTGGGATTCCTCTCAACTCGGAAGACAGAGCCAGAGAAGAAAAGATGAAATTTGAGAAACAAGCAGCCCAGCCAGGTTTGTGTCTACATTTCCTCTTGGGGGAAATCACAAAAGTTTTAAAACAGTGGAGACCTTTGCTCACTGAGTTGTGATTACACTAGCTGAGGATTAGTGCCTCAGATAACTTGTAAAATTCTTGGTTGCTATGCTAGATACTGCTTGTAGTAATAATTATGATTTATGTTGCTAGTATTTCTTTCTCTAGGTGCCCCTTTGGCCTGGATTGCATTGAAGTGTAAACGCTGTAGATGTATCCTGAAAAATGCAGCTTTTATGAGGCCGGAATTGTTTTTAGCTTTTATGGTTATGAAGAAAATGTTACACGAGCATAATTGCTGCTGAGAGGGTCTAGAAAAATAACATGTTTAGATAACATTTTAATTTTTAAACCACTGGTGTTGAGATTCCCGTGCTAATTCCAACGTAGATGAGGGATTCTGTTTGTAATCAGCTTGATGCCTTCATCGACATAGAAACTCAGAGGATTACATATATGTATGTGTGTGTGTGGCCAAAGGCAGGGTGAAATATGATTTGTATGTCAGGGCATATAGGTGCCCTAAAAGGAGAAGAAGAGGCAGGGTTGGGCAGCAGGGACCAACCTTCCAGGGATCGTTGGGCGCCATCATTACCTCTCTTTCAATACTAGCTCCATTCTTTCATTTTAATTCATGTTGATTTTAGTTTGTGGCTCCTTTGCAGTAACTTTTGCTTGTGTGAGATTTTATTTTTATGTGTATATATATATATACACGCACACACGCACACACACACACGTATATATATGCATGTATGCAAAGAATAAGATAAACAATTGCAAACCTTACGGTTGCGTTTGTTCTTTATTTCCAGTAGTTCTCATAGTGTGCCTACCAGTTTCCAAACAGGCCCATTACATCCTTTATCACAAGGAACATGCCTATTAAAAACAAATATGTCCATCTCCTGGGCATTGCGTGGTAACAACTGCTCCTGTGCTTCTGAAAAAAGAAAAAAGAAGAAGAAAATATAAAGGCATCTAACCTTGCTGGTCCCTAACAGTTGTAGTTTTTGTCACGCAAAGACAGTAGTTTCAGGACCACTGTGTGGATATTAATGGAGCGTTTCTGCTGTCACAACAGGGGAACTTGTTTTTCTAATATCCACTTGTTTGTATTTGCTTTTCTGTTTTAGAAGGAGAACTCTCGGAGGTTTTGTTTTTGTTTTATGTATTTATTTTGCCGTGCTTCTTTGCAGGTTTGCTAGAGAATACCCACCAGCCTGGGCTTTCCTGGGTTATTCTGGGGTTGCAGCTAGTGTGGAAGCCCTTGTGGGAACTGAGCTGGGGAGGGGAGCAGAGGCACCCGTGCTGGCTGCTGGTGTGGTCTTGAACAGCTCCATGTTCAATAGCGGGGGTTGGCAACAGAACCAAAAGCCCTGTCCTGGCTGCCGCTCTCGAGTGGGATGTGTTGGGGCAAAGGCTTATCCTTCCCCAAGGGAATTTGAACGTCTTTAGCTCTGGATGGCCAGGCAAGGCGGTGCGGGAGCGGGAGGCTTCCCGGGACAGTCAGGGGCTCCTGGCCTGCAGCACGAGGAGGCCTCGTTAGTGCTGGACAGGAGGGGGCTTCGCTGAGCCCCAGGAGGCTCCTGGAAGGTGAGGGGCTGCAAAGGAGGAGTGACAAGAAGGATCTAGGCAGCAAAGACGGCGTGTGTAATTGACAGGGACAGATTGGTTTTCAGAGCTTTTATTCATCTGCCTTCTCCCAGCAGGTCTTAGTTTTCTCTTTTTAAAATTATTTGTTATGATTGAGTATTCTGTATTATAATTAAAGCTTTCTACTAATTAGCTTTATCATTTTGATGGCCTTTAGTGTGCTCCCTTCAAGGAAGAGGCGCGCTTCTCTCCTACAGTTCTGGCTGACTCAGGGCTTCATCAATCTCCACGTTAGCTATAGTATTAATGAGGCTCCTGAGTTTTAGCATGAGCCCTCTGCGAAGCATAAACAACAGTAGTTGGTCAATTATTCAGAAGAATAAAGGTGCACGAACGATTTGACTGGTTGGGGACATGATGAAGAACCTGGGGCTCATTGGATGAAAACAGAAGGTTTTCTAAAGCCACGCTTACACCAGATACCTCTGCGTGTCTATCCCCACCGCTTTGCATTGCTGACACTTTCTTTCCCCTTGGGCTTCCATGTCTGCAAAGGAGTGTGCAAATGGAGACCCATTCTCTACAATAAGTGTTTGGCTTTATGATCTACAGCATCACTTACTAAAAAACACAGTGTAAAAAATGTCAAATGTTAAAATTTAGGGATCCGTTGCATGATTAAAATGCACAAAAATTCTTCCTATTTTTGTCTTCTATTGGAGGATGCGTTTGTTTTTTATCCTTATGTATCAGAATGGGATAATTTTGCAAAATTAGTACAGTTCATGGGATAATGACTGAGTTTTAGCAACACAATGACTGTTTTTACAAAGCATTTGTTGTATAAAATCTTAGGTTCTCTCTAGTTGTCCACAAAATGGTGCTTGGGGCTCTGTGGTCCTGAAACAATGACTCGGGGGGGATTACGCTGACCCGCTAATCTGCAGCGTTCATCCTTTTCCAATAGTTCGCGCACGGGAGCAAATTAAGTGCCTATTTTTTGTGTCAACCCTGAAGAGTATCTGGTTTTTCAGCCCTTAGTGACTTGTTAACAAACAGGTATCAGGACAGGCTGGTGAAGGCAGAGGCCGCTGGCCACTCAGATGTGAAATAGCATCTCTTTACTAACTACAGTATCGATTCCCGCCTACCCTGCAAACTGTGTAATTTTCTTTTCCCTGCTGCTAAACTCAGTAACAATGTATGAAGAGCTTTAGGGGCCCATCAGTGCTCAAAAAGGCTGCTCTTCCCTGGCATCCTATTGATTTTTCTCAAAGGCTTTTAAATTGCTCCTTCATTTTACTCAAATGCTCATTTCATCTCTACTGGATGCCGGCATTTTTGCCTTGTGTTTAAACAATTGCTCCATTCACTGGGTTCCTAAACTGTGACGCCTTCTTATTACTGGGAGATAAACTGTTTAGACAGTTTTCCTTAATCTTGGATTAATCGTTCCTGTATCTGAATTGTGCTGTTCCGTATTCCTTCACTTCAAAAAAAATAAACTCGGTGAAGTCTTATGATCTCTCAAGTACGTGTGTTCTATTTTCTCCTTCTATATATCTCCTGCTCAGTTCCTATAACAGCTTCATTTTTCTCATCCTTTTGTTTGTGTTTGATTTTTATTCTCTCCTCACTTTCATATATTACACTGGTAGGTTACATTTAACCTTTCCTTGGAGAATCGCTCTGGTGCTTCTAAACAGCATCTTTTTAATATTGTTAAGTGGGACTGACCACCTTTAGAAGCCATTACCGATATTTGTCACAGTCGGTGACCACCTTAGTATATAAATGAAGTTGAATTGTGATTTAGCACTGTATTTTTTCATATCTACATAGATGATTAATAAACTTACTAGCAGTTTGGTTTTACAGTTTTGCGAGTAGGAAAGGCTGAATGACATATATGAACTTATATGACAAATGATTGGCCATTACTGGTTATTAAAATCCAGGCTTCTCTTTTATGCTGAGTTAGAACTACATTAGTCTTTAAAGCAGCATTTGTTATTTTTTCCCAACCTGATTAAACTGATGAAGTGTGGGATACTTCAAAAGACAAATATCGTTTTTGGACACAAAACTAGGCATGTGGAAATGGGGTCATATCATCTTGTTCAAGACTGCCCTTTTGATGTCGGGTACCGGTTGCATATTTTGAAGCAAATACAATTCTTTTGCACAGAAATGTTACAGCATCCAGCAGCCTCTTCTCTGCATTAAAGTTGACATATTCCATATTTTTAAGTTTGCTTATTCAAAAATTATTTCTGCGGATAAATCCTCAGCTACGTTGTTGGCATTTTATTCAATTTATAAAAAACGATCACTGTTTGCCACCTCTCCTACATGGAACATCTCCTTGGAATTTTGCTACTGTGCTACCGTAAAAGTTAAGTCTTCCTGCAGACCAGTTTTGTGTATAGTAGCTGATAATAGGTGCTAATCCCCGAGTGGCAGCATTTTTTCATCAAGGTCAGTGGTTTTGGCTACCTGTTTTATCCTCCCCTTCCTTTGTGTATCTAACTTGTATAGCACAGTGATTCTGCCCTCGCCTAGTGGTGGGAAGAACCTGCAACTTTGGAGCCTGCAGATTGTACTTGGGTTTGGAGTTTCAAAGTGCCTGCTTTTTTTCATTTTTTTTAAAACAGAGTGGCGAGATCCAGAATTCATGAGAGAAGTTGAAGCAGCTACAGGAGTGGATCTTGGGTCCTCTAAAAATAATGAAAAAGGAGGGAAGAAGAAAGGGAAGAAGAAAAAATACCCAAATCTGACAGACCTGAAGCAGCAAGCTAATACTTCTCGTTCCCGGCTTGAGAAGAAAGTCTTCAATAAGTAAGATGACTTTGCCTTACCCAAAGCTGCTAACTTGTTCTTTCCACTTGTGTGGATGGTAGTTTCTGTTTTTACTCAAACGTGCACGTATAAACTCTCCTGGGAAAGCGCAGAGCAG